GGCGCGGGCTGTCCCGCCTGGGCGGCGAGTTTGCGGCGCTTCTTTGTTCGCAGCCGCGGCTTTTGTGTTTGTTGACCGAGAGGGTGATGGGAGCGGCTCCCGCCCGCCGCCCTCCGGCCCCCGGACGGGCGACCCACACGTGTTTCAGACCCTCCCAGATTGGGGTATAGGGGACCCACTGCCCCTCCTCCGCCGGCGTGGGGAGGGGCTGCCGGGTCCATGTGAGTGTCCACCCCACTCAGGCGAGCAAGGACACCTCCCGCGTGAGTGTGCGGGGGTGGGAAAGGCCTGGGTGGGGAGGGGGAGAGACACAGGTCAGTGGTCAGGAATTAGGCCGTGTGACACTCCCAGGCAGCCAGCACCTTTTGGTGTGGAGCACTTTCTCGGTTTCCTGGAGATTGGCTAGACTGAGCCTCGGGGTCCTTCCCACCCCAGCCGCAGCTGCTCCGGGATTCGGAGCAGAGAAAGAAAGACCCCTAGGGGGCGGCTCTGAAGGGCCTTGTCCAGGTGCTGAAAGGCGCTCTCCTCCCCTCTGGTGCTGGGGCCTGCCTTCTGGCCACCAGGCAGCTGGAGACCACTAGCACAGCACTGGAGGCTCTGGAAACAGTTCCTCCTGTTCCTGCTGGTCTGTGAGAATGTAGTGGCAGAGCCACTCTGGGCTGGGGAGTGGTCTCCAAGAAGACAGCAGGGATGGGGTTTCCTGACCACTCTTTAGGGCCAAGGCAGGCATGGTTTCCTGATAACCATCAGCTCTGTCTTCGGCACTCTGTGGGCGAGCCCTTGTGGCTTGGGCAGCTCCCCTACGAGGGTGAGGTGAAGGCGTGTGTCTTCCCTGGGTTGTCTCAGTTGGGGCCTCCAGACTGGGTCCGGTTGGCAGTGGGTAGCCTCGGAGTTGTCCTTGGGAATATGCCTTCTCAGGGCTGCTTCCCGAGTCACAGGGAGATAGATAATGGAGGAGCTGTCCACTTCCCAAGGGAGGGATGGGGCGTGGAGGGCAGGACACCACCAGACAGTAGCAGAATGAGGGTCAGGGTGTGTCTCTGAGGGTCATCACTAGAGCTTTCAGACCTTAGCAGTCCAGTCAAAGTTGAGGTGACTTGAGCCTCCAAGCCTCTGGGCTGTCTGGTGGGGGGAAGTTCACTCCCTCTACCTCTGCTTACACAAGGGCTCCCCAGACCACATCTCTGTTTATCCATCATAAAGGAAGTGGTTGGTAGCCTTGGAGGCTTGGTAAAGAGTAGGAGATCCCTGGAGACAAAGGTGCACAAACAAAGCCCAGGCCTGCATTCAGGAACCCCTGCCTGCTCTTGGGTGTGAACAGAGTCACAGTGTGAAATCCAGGGGGGTCTCTTCTGGCCTCTTCTCTGCTTTCCTCCCCTGAGGGACACTCCTTAATAGAGGTCACAGCTGGAGGGAGGAACTTCCCAGGGGTCCAATGTTTATGAAACAGAAGGCTAAGGGCTAGATCTCCAGATGGTCTTCTTGTCTCAGAGGTGGGTGGTGAGACTAATAACCCACTACCATTGAGTCCAGTCCATTGCAACTCACAGGGACCCTAGATAAGACTTCCAAGAGTGCACATCTTTATGGGAGCAGAAACTTTCATCTTTTTCCAGTGGAGTGGCTGGTGGGTTTGGACCACTGACCTTGAAGTTAGCAGCCCAGTGCCTCACCCAGTGCTACCAGTGCAATGGCTAGAGGGAGGCAAACGCTCTGAACAGAGCACTCACACCCAGGTCTCTCTGGCAGCTGGGCCTGAGGTCAGCAGCCACCTTGTTGGGGTGAGGCTGGGGTGGAAAGCTCTGGAGTTGCTGTCAGAGGGACAGCGGAGTGTGCCTCTGCCCCCCTCTCAGACTGACATAGAAACCGGGTGCCCAGTTCACCTCCCTGACCCATCCCCTCCCTTTGCCCTGAGGAGTTAGTATCTCCCTGTAATGGACACCACCCCCGCTGGAACCAGGTCAGGGAGAATATAGGGCATGTGTTGAGCTCAACCCTTGCCCAGCCACAAAAACAGTCAGGTCACTCTCTCCTTCCCCCTGGGGAAGCTAAGAAGGGCAGTCTGCATGGGAAAGGCCCCTGCCTGTACCCCAACTTTAGGGGCAGACCTCCAAGGGACATTTGCATCCACGTGTGCCTGCCTAGTCCCCAAGGTGTTCCCTGCAGGGGATGGGGCTGGGGCAGCTGCCTAACACGGCAATGGATGGAGGTCCCTGAACTTAGTGGTTTGGGCACAGCATCCCTGAAACCAGCCAGGCTTCCCTCAAAGGCTCAGCAGCTGGGGTTCTCTGGTCTCCACTTGGCATAGCTGCCTCCTCTTCACTCCAAGAAGGCCCATCTGAGGCCCTCCTGTGGGCAGGCTTGGCAGCAGCAGCCAAAGAGAAGGACCGCTGGGAAGGCTGCAGAGCAGGGTAATGGTTTTTGCTGTGTTAGCTATTTGGGGGGCTGGAAGCTAGGAGTAGTGGGCAGATGCTTGGCTGGGTTTGTTGCGTGGAGGGCAGGGTTGTTGGGGGTCTTGCTTCGCCGCACACACTCAAGCCTGTGCCGAGCTGACAGGGAGCAGAAGGTGGGAGGCCAGTTCATCCTTGCCTGGTACGACCCTGAGGTTGGCACAGCCAGCTGGACATGGCCCTGCTTCTGAAGTCACAAGTCCCTGATGCTCCCTGTGGGGTGGGGTTTGACTGGGTCGGAAGCTTCCTGTGAATGGGCACTTGTGTTGGGAGCAGGAGTCTTCCTGGCAACAGGAAGTCTGGAAGGGCCAGCAGAGGGACATCCCCTTTCTTCCTGGGGCTCCTTACCCCCACACCCCATCCCTTCCTCTCCCCTCCTCTTCTGTTTTCCCAAGCTCATCCTTCTGACCTAAAAGCCATCAAGGCTGAGTGATGGGGTGATTGGGCTGTTGGACCCCTGGACCCCCAGATGTCCCTGGCCCACCGAGGGCATCTCCAGGACCTTGGGGGAGAACCTGTGACTCAGAGTGGACAACCCTGGGTGCTGGGTGGGGCCATAGTTGGTAAGTTGGAAAGCTCAGGAGAGAAAACCACAAACCCCAGAAACCAAACACTCCATTTTTTTCCTGTAATGAGGGGTGGGTGGGTATTCACAGGGCAGGACAAAGTGGGGAGGAGTTAGCAGGCACTGCCGTGACAACAATCCCCTCCCCACCCCATGGTCTCCCATTCACTTTGGGAAGGAGCACCCTCAAGCACACCTGTTCCTGCACCCCTTATTGGGCTCCTGCCCCAGGACTGTAGGCCCCTCACCTCTGTCCTCATCACCCATATTTAGTCTACACATTTGGGGTATCCTTTTAGGATTTCCCTTGACAAAAGGACTCTGCTTATGCCAAACCTCTTCGACAACTACCCTGCCAGTGCACGCGGGTGTGAGGGTGTTCGTGTGCAATGATGCCGTCAATGGGCATGTGTGTTACACCCAAGGAGACACCGGCAGAGCCAGAAGCAGGTGGGCACGTGCTCTTCTACCTGGAGGGGCACACGGGCATTGTCTGTGGGCTGAAGTGCTCACAGGTGTGTGTGTGTGCATTCTTAGGGGGCATGGGCGGAGGCAGGGAGAGACCCCGGTTGTGGGCTTTCCCTGTGGTCTGCTGGCGCGTGGAGTGTCCCTTCTCGTCATTCATGCTGCGTTGGCTTGGGGAAGGAGGAGGGGAGGGTGTGGGGTTTTACCGGCAACCTTTTCATTCCTGCAATTAAATAGCTGTAAACCTGCGCAGCTCCAGGTAATGAATTCTCCCACCTGGGCCCAGGGCAAGGCGCCACCAGCCGCAGGCCCTGGTGGCAGGGCAGTGGCAGCTGGTGGGGGCGGGATTCCTTGGAGGGTTTTTTTTTTTTTTAATGTAGGGTTTCTTTATGGCTGGGTAGCAAGCTCTGGTGGTGCAGTGGGTCAGGCTCTTAGATGCTCACCATAAGGTTGGTGGTTCCGACCCACTGGCCCCACTACTACAAAAGACAGAAAAGGCGGCTTACGTCTGTGAAGATCCACAGCTCAGAAACCCCGTGAAGCAGTCCTGCGAGGGAGCGTCAGAAAGGTCGTGTGAAAACCCTGTCATTTTCTAAGTTGATGAAAGGCCCGACGCCTTTGTGACGCCCCTCCGGACGCTGTCCCACAGGTCGCTGTGGATCGGAGCGCAATGGGTCTGGTCTGGTTAGATTTCTGGTGGGGTGTCTTGGGGTCCACACTAGCTCTGTAAAACAGCAGAGCCCTGGGAGGCTGTTGGGGTGAGTGTAAGTACCTGGCACAGGGACACCGGAGGGGGAGGGGGCAGACAGCATCTGGAGCCCTGGGGCCAAGCGGGGTGTCCTGCCAGCTCCCTGGGGCCTTGTTAGCATCCAGAGCAGCATCTGGGGCAGGGCAGGTGGGCCTCTCCGCTGGCTCTGCTGTGTCTCCCTTGGCCCTGCAGGAAGGCCTCCTCCTGGCTTCCCCAGCCAGCTCAGTCTCTGTGGTCCTCTACTGTCCCAAGCCCAGAGCTCAGGACCATACCCAGGTTGTGGGCCAAGGGGCACCTGCCAACTAGGATAGGCACATGGGTCCTGGAGAGCTGGTGTGGAGGGGCAGCAGGTGTTCATGGCTCATCTGTACAAGCCACAGCCTCTCAGGGGCCCAGGAGGATCACGGGCACTTTTTCCTTTGGAGCTGCCTAGTATATTTAAAAATTCAGAAATGCCAACTCAGGGCTTCAGAAATTATATGTCATTTACAGTGTTTTTTTT